TAAACGCACCTGGTTGTGTTCAGATGATAAACGCACCTGGTTGTGTTCAGATGATAAACGTACCTGGTTGTGTTCAGATGATAAACGCACCTGGTTGTGTTTAGATGATAAACGTACCTGGTTGTGTTTAGATAATAAACACACCTGGTTGTGTTTAGATGATAAACGCACCTGGTTGTGTTCAGATGATAAACGCACCTGGTTGTGTTTAGATGATAAACGCACCTGGTTGTGTTCAGATTATAAACGCACCTGGTTGTGTTTAGATGATAAACGCACCTGGTTGTGTTCAGATTATAAACGCACCTGGTTGTGTTTAGATGATAAACGCACCTGGTTGTGTTTAGATGATAAACGCACCTGGTTGTGTTCAGATGATAAACACACCTGGTTGTGTTCAGATAATAAACGCACCTGGTTGTGTTTAGATAATAAACGCACCTGTGTTTAGATAATAAACATGGTTGTGTTCAGATAATAAACGCATCTGGTTGTTTTTAGATAATAAACACATCTGGTTGTGTTTAGATAATATACACATCTGTGTTTAAATGCACCTGTTTGTTTGTAAAGACCAACTTCCCTTAGAAACACCAGAAAAACAACTTTATAAGTTCTGCTGGTTTCTGCACAAATAGCATAAGTGAAACAAGTTTAGTCCTGAAATACAACAATATTTCATTTCAGGAAGGTTTTATGTTTTAATCACTCTAAACATTAAAAAAAAGTTATTTTCTACAGGATAATAAAAATATCCAGCCCCTGGTATGAAGATTAATTTACTTTTTTCTTAAAGAAATTACTTTTCACATACAGGTATATGTAAAATGTAGAATTTTTTATTTTGCTTTTCATAAAGTAATTTAGACCCCGTGACCCAAAATGGAAGAAGCGGGTAAAAGATAATAGATGGATGGATGGATGGATGAAGTAATTTATTACAGAAACTCACTCATCGCTGTTTTCGCTGAAACATTAAATGCAAACATTCTTTTTTCGAATTGCATTTGAACGCAGCTCTAGTCACATTTAAAGCTTCCTGTTCGTTCTTGCAGATTTAACATCATTGTCTACTAAACTGAACAGAACTGGACCGAACCTTAGGGACATGCACTCAGGTCCAGACACATTTGTGCGCGTGCTCATGTCCATTAACAACAGCTTCTAGCCCCCACCCCCATCCATTTGTGGCTCCGCCCATCCCACTGGGTGGTGTCTGTACCGCAGTGAAGCATCCTCAGCAGCATCAGAACCAGGACTTCAGAACTCAGAGAGAATCCCGGAACCAAATAGAGCCCCGAGCTGCAAAACAGTAGGTAGGTGAGGCTTCTGGACCCGAACGGTCTTTTTGACCCATGTGGTTCCAGATCAGCTGGTTTCACCATTTTTAGTTGACAGGAAACAATAATTACATCACTGCGGTGATTAACCAATCAACGCCGTTCTGGGACAAGCCGAACAGAACCAGCAAAACCAGATTAGGTCCAAAGTGCAGGACCTGTTAAGAACCAGAGAGACCGACAGAGATTGTTTAACTGTAAAACTGTGATTTTCTGTTTCAGGAAAAACAATAAAACTATATTGTTGGCAGATTCTTCACAGATTTTTGGCATATCGTTTACTGATTGTTGACAGATTGTTTACTGATTGTTAACATATTGTTTACTGATTGTTAACATATTATTTACAGATTGTTTACTGATTGTTAACTGATTGTTTACTGATTGTTAACAGATTGTTTACAGGTTGTTGACAGATTGTTTATAGATTGTTAACAGATTGTTTACAGATTGTTAACAGATTGTTGGCAGATTGTTTACCCATTGTTAACAGATTGTTTTCCGATTGTTTACAGATTGTTTATTGGTTGTTTACAGATTGTTTACAGATTGTTAAAAGATAGTTTACAGATTGTTAACATATTGTTTACTGATTGTTAACAGATTGTTTACTGATTGTTGACAGATTGTTTACTGATTGTTAACAGATTGTTTACTGATTATTAATATATTATTTACAGGTTGTTGACAGATTGTTAACGGATTGTTTACAGACTGTTAACAGATTGTTGGCAGATTGTTTACCCATTGTTAGCAGATTGTTTTCCGATTGTTTACAGATTGTTGACACATTGTTTACTGATTGTTAACAGATTGTTTACCGGTTGTTGACAGATT